CACCCAAGCAGGTTGCAAATGAATTTCAAATAGAACCTGGCATCACCCTGAAGGAATTCTAGCTTCACACTTTTTTGGAAAGTTTACCAAAATAGCTTCAGAGTAGACTAACTTTACACAGCACATTTAAAAAAAAAAAGACACATTTATTCAGCGTCATGATCAGACTATTACATTTAGCAATCAACAGCATGGGTGCAAAAAGAAAAAAAAAATCTACATTAAAACCCTTTGTTGGAATGCTTTACACTTTCCACAGAACAGAAACTAAAATAACCTGTTATACAATTAGTCACAAATACAGTCCTCGAGTTTTTTGCCCATACACATGAGTATTGTCTAAAACATGTCTTCTTTGTAGCAGCTAGGCCCTGCCACCACTGTGCTTGGCTGAGTTCACAAATCTGTTGTAACCTGTAGCTTCCCTGTCACTTCTCTGGCTCTCCTCTCCTGCTAAGCTTTGTTTCCTGTTGAACAATATGGAATAAAGTTGTTAATCTAAACATATTAAGACTCATGGCTACAATCCAACAGCAAGTTTTGTTTCCCACAAATTTTGCTGATCTGAATATTAACATCCACAATTTTACTGCAATTACAATGTTAACTATGTTGCACTGCTCAGCTACATTAGGGTTACTGGGTTCATCAGCAATTAAAATTAAGCCACACACAAAGGTGTTTACTTACCTGGGAATAATAATTAAAACCTTCTGCCACTGCCATAGCTACTGCTGCTACTGGAGCCACCATAGCCACCTGAGAACAAAATTTTTCTTTAAAGGCTTGGAAATGTAAATAGTAATAATGTTTTGTATTTAAAGGTAATGAATGTTTAAAAGCTTAAATTCAAGAATTCAATTATTTTAAAATGGCCCCCGCAGAACCGACAAGTGATGTCTTGCTTTATTGCCCAGACTGGACTTGTTAACAGGGCTTGAGGGACCCTCCTGCATTAGCCTCCCAAGTAGCTGGGCCTACAGGTACCTGTCATAATTCCCCGCTTTGTTGCTCATACACCTTGAAGATCTAATACATTTTTCCCCCAGTAGTAGCTATAATTTACACTTAGCCCTCTGATACTATCAAATATTACAAATATACTATACCTTGGTTTCGTGGTTTGGCAAAGTATTGGCCACCACCACCATAAGGGCCAGAGCTTCTGCCTCCAAAATTTCCTCCCTTCATGGGTCCAAAATTTGACGACTGATTGTTGTAATTGCCAAAATCATTGTAACTTCCACCACCTCCAAAATTGCTTCCTAAGAATGTAAAGAAGGCCTTTGTCTGTTATTTGAGAAGATGATAGGTCCCAATTCTGCCTAACATCGCGAACAGAAGCTGCTGTATTATCTATCTGCCTGCCTTCCTCCCAAAGTCCTGGTGGCTCCAAATCTTTTGTGTTTCATTCTCCCAGGAAGCTTAAATACAATGATCTAACTTGTCATGACCTGAGTTTTTCCTAGTGGCACACACACTCTCCAGCCTTAAGGCCTTTATAGATCCAGGGCCACTGCAAACTTAAATTCCTTTTACATATCAACTATATGTCCTAAGGTCCTAAAGGAATTAAGATACTATACCTGCCATGATGCTAATCTAACTCCAACACACCACTATCCACTTACCCATCTACTTATTGGGGAGTGAGGCGGCCCCAGCTTAAAGCTAGGAGGAGGTAGCACAGCAAGCCTATTTATTTTTAATACACCATGCAGTGTACCACACAATGCTTTAAGAGCTTCAAATCCCAATATGGGCATGAACTCTAAAAGGCTGATCTAGCTATCACACCAAGTACTTGGATCACTGGATACCTACCACTACCACCGCCAAAGCCGCCTCCGCCTCCTCCGTTGTTATAGCTGTCATAGCTGCCACTCCCGCCATAGCCACTGCCCTGGTTTCCATAACCCTGTCCACCACTTCCATAGCCTCTGCTTCCTCCAGTGTAACCAGGGCCGCCTCCTCCATAACCACCTATAAGAATACAATTCTTCTCAATAAGACAAAAGTATTTAACAATAAAGATTTGTGCTATGGCTAAAGGCCAGCTCACAGCATGCGTGTTAAGGGCCAAGTTGAACTTGTCATGCACTAGTTTTAGTCTCTACTAGCCTATTCTAAAGGTAGTGGTTGCCAGATTTTTTTACCTACATATTCCTTAGACGAACTTACCATCATTGCCAAATCCATTGTAGCCATCCCCACTGCCACCATATCCACCACCACCACGACTGCCACCAAAGCCACCTGGAAGAAAACAAAGCCTCAAATTGGGTTAAGTATATAACCTTCATTTAAGTTACATCACAGAAAACATTCCCTGTACTACAGAAAACCTATTTGCACACCAAAGATTCATTTCTGGTTAGCGAGAAGAATTACATTTAAATAAAATGTAACTTTGAAATTGTAGGTCAGGGTTACATACTATGGCAAGATACAAAAAAGGACAAGCCAGGCAGGGAAATAAAAAATTATAAACTTCCATACATACCACGACCACTGAAGTTTCCTCCACGGCCAAAGTTGTCATTTCCACCAAAACCACCTCCACGACCCCCACCAAAGTTTCCAGAACCACTTCGACCTTAAAGAGATAAGTTCAAGTATTAAACTACACACGTCAGAGTACCCATCAAGTTACCATTAAGGTTTAACTAAACAATGAACACACCTCTTTGGCTGGATGAAGCACTGGCCATCTCTTGCTTTGATAGGGCTTTCCTCACTTCACAGTTGTGGCCATTCACAGTATGGTATTTCTGAACTAAAAATTTTACAAGATAAATAGAACAGTTATCTCAGGATTTAAAAGACCACAAGGATTTTAGAACCCTTAATAAATTAAATGCCAGTGATCTCATACTTACTGACAATCTTATCCACAGAATCATGGTCATCAAATGTAACAAACGCAAAGCCCCTCTTCTTGCCACTGCCTCGGTCAGTCATGATTTCAATCACTTCGATTTTCCCATACTGTTCAAAATAGTCTCTTAAGTGATGTTCTTCAGTATCTTCTTTAATGCCACCAACAAAGATCTTTTTCACAGTTAAGTGGGCACCAGGTCTTTGAGAATCCTAACAGGAGGAAAACCCACTATGTTACTTAGATTAGCAAACCCACCCTCAAATCAAAAAATTTTCATCTTAGAACAGACCAAATGTGAAGTCCACTAGCAGCACATCTGCAAATGAGCAGGGGGCAGGAGAGGGAAACTCACTTCTCTGGAAACAGCTCTCTTTGGTTCCACAACTCTTCCATCCACTTTGTGTGGCCTTGCATTCATTGCTGCATCCACCTCCTCCACGGTCGCGTATGTGACAAACCCAAAGCCCCTGGAGCGCTTGGTGTTTGGATCTCTCATTACC